GCTGAGTACTTTTGCACATAGAACAAAAGTCTTGACTGAATTTTCTTTCATTTTCTGTTTTGTGTTTACTTCGTGTTCACAAAATCCTCAGTCACATAGTCATGTCTTAGCTCTGGAAAGGCTGAAATCTACAAGTTAGGATCAAACAGAAATGTTTGCTTTTTCAAGTATATGCTAGTTTAACAGTTTTCAGGAAAAGAAAACGTTAATACATGTGACAAGCAGAGTTAGGTGTTATGCATGTTTACTGAGAACATAATATAAAACATAAAAAGGTTTGAGGTGTGAGGAAAATCTTGACAAAACAGCCATTAACTTCAACAGGGCCACAATTGCACATGATCTGTTTAAGTATCTACCTAAATGTTTCCAAACATTGTGAATTTGGGGGCATATTTCTGGTCTCATTTTTAAACTTGTTCTATTTCACAAACTTATCTGCCCCAAGTTTCTCACTGCTGTCTTGTTGTCCCAAGGAACAAGGTTTGGCCTGAGCTAATTCCTGATCCCTACAAATCTCAGCTCCACTGCCCTTATACTGGACTCCACAACTGCAGTAGGGGAAGCTCTGCCAGCTCCTGATAGTTTCCTTTTGGGTCGTGAAGGAATTTTAGGTCCTCCTTTCCATCCGTAGATTGCGTTAGCATGCAATATCACTCAACCTGAGATCACCCTTTACCAGAGGCAATCAGTAAGATGACATAACAACAAAAGGATTTATTATCTACAGGAAAGGAATTACAAAAGAAAAACAAACCATATAGGTTGAAGGCAGAATAAAAAGACAAGTCATGGTTCTTACCCTCTCATCTAGCTACTATCTAGCCCCTCTGAGAGTCCTGCCAGTGTTTCCAGATATCCACCTTCCTGATAATCCTGCTAACTGGGGTTTTAGACTCTCTCAAAAACTGGGAAAATCCAAAAACCTGGACCATTTTGTGGATAGCCACTAAAATACATCCAAACCAGCTCCCAACCCAATCAGCATTGTCCTAACTGTTGTTGAGTCTCAGAATCCTTTAGAAATTTCTTTCCTCCCTGGGGAACCTAGAATTCCTTTAGCTAAAAGTCCTTTATTTTGGGATGCCTTCAAAAATCATGAAAAAGTTTGAAAAAGTGCAAGAAATGAATTTAAAAATTGGCCATAGAAAGGCATTATTTGATCATTGCATGTGTGCATGCCACTTGTAAACCCTTAAGATAGATTAAGTGGGTGCATCCCCATGAGCAAGAATGTGTATTTCCCAGGGACACATAGCAGCATCACATATTTGTGCCACTGCTAGTTGTCCCTGGGCATGCTCTTGCATGCGCTTTCTGGCATGCAGCAAATTGCCCCAGGTGGGGTAGAGGAGGATGGGGCTAGCTCCTAAGCTGGCCCCAGCAGCCATATCTGGGGTCCTGGGGCTGCAGCAGTGGTGATCTCAATGCACAAAGCCTGCCAACAGCTGGAGCATGGCTTTGGCCAGCCAGGCTCCAGTTTTGGGTGCCTCACATTGCAGCCATGTACACTGCCTCGCCTTTTTTTTGGTGTGTTTTTTTTTTGACACTGGGAATTAGCAGCATGGCAAATGCATGCATGTGCAGTGCATGTGGTTTGTGGTGCCGCAGATGGGTTTGAGGGACTGAAAACTGCATGTGTGTGCTTGTGGGGATGAGCGCAGTGAGGTTTCTGCTCTGAAGCCTGATTAACTGGGCTAGATAAACCTAAACCAGGGCCACCTGAACCCTGGATTCTCCCACTGATTGGTCTTAGGTCTGCTTTTAAGAAACTCCACCAGCACCTGAACCTTGCTGCACAACCTACTGGTCTCTAGTTCTGAGTAGCTCCTATCCTGGTATCTTTTGGTTTCTGCCCCAGCATCCCTGATCATATATCCAGCCCCTTGGACTTCAGACTTTGGTTTGACTTCAGCTTGCTTCCTGACCCCTCATTCTGGTTAGTCCCCTGGCTTGATATTTGGTTCCTGGCTCTTGGCTTCTGATCCCCACCCCAGAAATCCCCAGCTCTATCCACTCAACTGGACATCCTGGAGGACTGTAACAATACCCATAAACACTTCTAATTATAATAAAGTTCATGACACCATGCATTGACTACTCTCACCTATTAGTGGGACCTGACAAATTTGAATAGACTCACTTTGAAAGAGACTAAAGGGTATTTGGATATAAGGGTTTTAAAGGAACTTTAAAAAAATGTCTGAGTCTTTGGCTTGCTGACTGAACATTTTTAAATGAAGTCAGTAAATAACTTGACAACGTCAGATTAATTCAGTGTTAGGACAGCCAGAGTTTTTGTATACTCAACTTTTTATTATAACTTAATTGTAAGAAATTACCAATTCTATAAAGAACAGATGCCAAATGTTTATGAAGCACTGGCAATTTGAAGAGGAAACACTGAGGATGGCCACCACTGCTTGGTTCAGTTAGTACCTAGGCTGTAGTGGGTTTCCATAACATTGACAGATACTACTAGAAAATTAGTATCTCAGATATTTTAACCACACTATATTATACTTGTCTTGCCTGTAAAGAAAGACACATATTTATAATTTTAATCCAAGGGCAGCCAATGGCCAAATGGACAAATGTTCTGTGCAATGACAAATATTTCCTTTTCTCCCATGATCTATATCTAGGGAGATGATTATATTGGTTTGCTGGTTTCTAACTGCTTTTAACATGTAATCTAGATTGCTTGGGACTGTTTAAAATCTGAAATTTTTGTCTTTATGTAATGGGCTGTATTACCAGGAGTGTCATTTGCTAATCAAGGGAAATGTTTCATCTGTTCTATTTGGCATTGGTAAGGTCTCATACCTGGAGTACTGAGTCCAGTTTTGGGTCCCACACTTCAAGAAGGACATGAAAAGATTAGAATAGGTCCAGCACAGAGTAACACAAATGATTAGAGGCCTGGGGAGTATGATTTATGAGGAAAGGCTGGAAGGATTAGGATTATTTATTTTGGAGAAGAGAAGACGCAGGGGAAATGTGATAACACTCTTCAAATACCTGAAGGGTAATTATGGAGGGTGCCTGGGCCATATTAACCCTTTTGTGGGCCCTAGGCAAACAAATTCATGGGCCCCTACTTAATACTATATATTCATATTACTTTTTTCACTCAATAATTATAATATGTAAAATAAGCATAACTAGGTCCCTTCTTCACTTAAGGCCCTAGGCATGTGCCTAGTTTGCCTACGCATTAATTTGACCCTGGAGGGTGCAAATGATATTCATGGAACTCAGTTTAGGTTTAAGTGGTTCATTTTAAGCTGCTTAAATCTACCCTGGAGCAGCACATGCAGGTGTTCTCTGCTGCCAGAAGTGGCATGAGCAGCCTGACGTAAATAACTTCGTGGGGAGAGCAGAGCTGGTGGATCTGGTAGGAGTTGATGGGTTCAGTAGGCTGGCTCATCTTAGTGGTGGTGGGGTGGGGCATGTTGCCTGGTCTGGGAAGGTAGTCAGGAGGCTAAAAATAGCTCAGTCAGGGTTGGAAGGGTAAGAATAGCACAGCCCTAGGTTTGAGACAAGTAGCTGCCTTTCCAAGCCTGGGGCTGAGCTGTGGACATACACAGTTGTTCACTGGACTAAGTCAACCCATTTTAGATAGGGTACCTCAAGTTGATCTAAAGCTAGTTCACCGCTGAGGTGAACTTGGATTGAGCATTCCATTTTTAGGGCACTTTAAGATCTCAATGCCTGCACACCCAACCATATAAATTGACCTAAACTTGGTTAGGTCAATCTAGATGTAATGCTTGTACTTATCTGGGGAGGACTGAGATGGACTTTCCTTTGTGGCTGTAGGGGACAGGACTAGGATCAATGGTCTCAAGCTACAGCAGAAGAAGTTTAAGTTGGAAATTAAGAGGAACTTTCTGACTATGAAGGTACTCAAGACTACCTAGAGAAGCTGTGGAATCTCCATCCCTGGAAATTTTCAAGGGCAAGTTGAACAGACACTTGGCTAGGGTGGTTTAGTCAGGTTGATCCTGCCTTGAGAAAGGGGTTAGATTAGATAAGGCTGTGTGGTTCCTTCTAGCCATAATTTCCTATAAACCTATGATTCTATACCACCTGATCCTAACCTTCATGATTTTTTTTTGAATGAGATGATCACTCCATCAATCCCAATATTCTCAGGATTACCTATATGCTTTACATGGAGTGGTTGCCCTTGAAAATTTTGCCTTTTAAAAAGTTTGTCAGAGAAAACATTACCTCATAATTTGCAGAACTCTACAGGGCATGTGTACGTAATAGGGTTTTTGAGTTATCTGAAATAGTTATTAATTTATTCAAAGCAACTGGCTGTTTTGAAGTACAGCCACTGTATCTTTGTCCTATTTACTGTTATTGCATTGCTAACCTATTTTGGATTCTTATCTGCTGTTAAAATATTTACCCATTTAACCAGAAAAATTATCTTTAATAAGTCAGTCATGTTTAATCAACATGCAAAGAGTTGTTAATGTTTCATGTTGTTCATGTTAATTCATATTTGAACTAATTTAATAGGAATAAGTAAAACTGAGAGCATTCAATTATCTACAGGAACAATTTTATCAGTATCTAAAAATCCTTTTTTTTTTAAAAAAGAACATACACTGTGCATTGTAATATTTCATTATATGATAACAAGTGCTGAGAATTAAATGTACTGAAAGCTGAGTATTTTGCAATGATGTGTTTACGTAGGATAAGTAAAATATATTAAACCAAAAATATAACAGAGATGGGATGAAACAACTTCTTTCTGGCTATTACTATTACATGACAATAGATAACATAATAATAATATCACCATAAGCATGCTACTTACTTAATAGTTAAATATCTATGCTCTGAACCAAAAGGGCTCATGATCTGGGACCACTGTACAGACATAGTGACTCAATAATGTCACTGAGCTTCACACAGGATTCTTATTTGTACATGTCAGTCTCACTTCAGGGCCTAATTACAGTGTAATTAAACAATTTTACCTTTCTCTTTGATGACAGCTGGAGGCTTTACTTCTTTTCCTTTTGTGGCCTCTGGAAAAAAAAGTATAATTATTATGCATACACAGGCAAGGAAGAGGGAACTGAGAACCAGGATACAGTAAAAAGAATAAGCAGTAATTTTGGGTGATGTTTTTTGTTATAAAAGCGGAGTTGTTGTATGTGTGCTTTTTTATCCTTTAATTCTATAGAACACTATTCCTTTAAGAGAAGCAGTAGATATAGGAAGATTACACAATTCATGAACAAAGTATGTAATGAAGGAGACTTCAATGAGAAACTAAGCGTATGCAGTATGCTGTATTCTGGCTGCATAGGTATGCAACTCTGTATTTGATACCTGAGTGTAAGTCCTGAAATTCTTGTGTCAAGTTGGAGGAAGAGGGACAAGGCCTTCTTGGGTTATTACCCCTGATTATCTGAGTAGTTAGGGCACTTGTCCAGGAAGTGGACAACCCAGCCTCTAAGCTCTCGTCACCAATACAAGATTTAAATATTTGTCTCTCTGATTTCCCAAAACAGTGTTCTAATGACCATGCCTGAGATCCCCTTTTCCAGCAGTCTTTTTGAAGTTGAGCCACTGCAACTTGCATTTGGTATTCCTTGGACAAAATGGATGGAGAGGAATGGAGAAGCATCTGTCCTATTGGTAGCAGGGCCTGCTTCCTTCCTGAGCAGAAGACATCTTGTTTTCCTTTTCCTTCTAGCCCCACATACCTCCCTCTCTTAGATGCCTGAGGAGCCAGCTTTAGAAGGAGCACTGAATAGGGGACTAGATAGTACCTAACCTCCTGTGTAGTGGTTTGAGCACTCTGCTGGGAAAGCTGGGAAATGCAGGTTCAACCCCACTCTGTGTAAGTAGGGCCTAGGATCTTGGTCTCCTGATTTCTGGGTGAGTGCCCTATTCCCTCAGCTACTGGGGCTAAAATGTGTGAGGGTCATTCTTCTCCTCCTTCCCCATCATAGGGTTCTTCCAAATAGAATTTCACGGACAGTGCAGGTACAGAGCTGTGTACCTGCCTGACAAAGCAGGCAGCAGTTGTGAGAATGCTTGTCCTCCACTCTGCACACAGAATAGCCTCACAAGCTGTGCATAAATGCCAGCAATGTCACCTACATGACTAGATTCTGCCCTTAGTAATTTAGACTTTCTAATGCATAGTTTTACCTTTTTCTTTGACAACAGCTGGAGGCTTCACTTCTTTCTCTTTTGTAAGCTCTGAAAAAGTCATCAGAGAGAAAAAATGAAGCAGAGGTAATTCTGTTACACACTTATACACTATCTAGAAATATGCAATAGAATAATTCAAAGCATAAAACAAAGCACAGACTGGCATGAGAATCTGTTAGGAGTCCAAAACAGCTCAGTTCATTAAACAATTCAATTTGGGATCTGAAGGATGAACTACACTCATTCCTATAAGGCTACTGTCATCTTGGATAGATGCAAACCATTCTTTATGTAGTCTGAGCATCCTCACTGCCTTTAACCGGCTTGAAGAGGTGTGACTAAAGACCAAATGTAACCGTATAATTGGAACTGAGGCTCAGATCCAAAGAAGGACTCAAGTGCCTAAAAAATATTTAGGAATCAAAGAAAACTATAATCAAAGAAAACCCTGCTCAGCATCTACTTAAATTGGACATGTCTAAACTCACCCCATAATATGCTCTTGGACCCAACAATTCTCTTGGTACCTTTAATTTTGCCTTCTATGTATGAAAAGAATAGCCCCAGTGTGGGACACTAGTGCTTAGCTGCAGCCTATGCTTTATTTGCATCCAGAAATCATGCTGAGTGGCACCGATAGCCCATGAAAGTCTCAGTTCAGTAGGTGTTCCCAAAGCATGCCCAATGACATTAATTTCAGCACAAAACACAGCAGGCTGTCTACTTGCATTCAAATCATGTCTCCTTTTACCTGTCTTTTGTACGATAATCTAGCGATGAGCATACTTATTCAAGAAATTAAAGATGTAGTTTCTAAGCTGTCCGTACCCTGACAGCATTAAGACACATAGTGGAAAGTGCCCAGACCACCAGGACTAGGGTGGGTAGGAGAAGGAAAACTGTCTACCGCTCTTTCTTCTGCTGAACCATTTCCATTTTGCAGCAAAGTCTTCAAGATTTATGAGAGCAGAAAGAGAGCAAACAAGAAGGAGCCTGACTGTATCAGATTGGTTAGGGATCATTAGTGGGAAAGCAGTGTCTTTGGATTCTAGTCACTCATACCAGCTACTCTTCTGGCCTCACAAATATTAGTCTTCCATACAAAGAGGCCCAGCTTCAACAAGAAGAGTAGAAAGTCCCTGTTCTGTCTAGCTCTAATGGCTAATGCACTTCCTTGGGGAGAGATGGGTTATAAGACCTCTAAGCTAAGGCAAGTTTTATAAGCCAGGTCTCTTACTTCCTGGTCAAGTATTCTAACCACCCAGTTATTATATAAAAAGCAAATATAGGTACCTTCACCTCCTCTTTTTTTTTTTTTAAAGAATGAGCCCTACTCAGTTTCTTCAAAGTAGACTTCTTTGTGCCTGTCCTCAGAAATGGACTCTGTGTTTGGAACTTATTTGAAAAAAGTTGTCTGCCTTGATTCACATTCCTAAGCTCCAGAGGGGTAGGGTAGACCAAGCTCCAGAGAGGTAGATATGACCAAGTGCTTAGCATTTCCTAGTTACTAGTTCTCAGTAGCTTCCCTGTAAGGATGTAGGTTTTCTGAATCACCTTTCTAAGATGCCATGGTGCTTAACTATAGGTTTTGGATTTGGCTTCAGGGGCTGGCCACCTAAAATGTAGGTGTGGAGAAAGATCTATGCATTTGGCCATTAGTTAGCAGTTCTGTTAGTGGTTCATGAGAAGGAGGTGGCTCTGGCTTAGAGCAAACAAGTAGCAAATCTTTATTTTGATTTCGTATTCAGATATCATTATGTGCATGCAAAGGGATCACAGCTACTGACTAAGATGCCTGTTTTAGTCACTTGTGAGAGAAGATGTGAAGTGCAAGCTATTGTACAGAGGCAATAACAGTGAGGACAAATGGCTATTTCATGACTATGTACTTATAAGAATTACCCTTTTCCTTTGCAGCTGTTGGAGGCTTCACTTCTTTTTTAACAGACTCTGGATGGAAACATTTAGCATTTAGCAGAAGTCAGGATAGAGAACTAAGATGCCACATCAGAAGAAAAAAACTCAGATAATTTGATATAGAGAAAGAAAAGAATTCAGATGTGATAATTAAATGACTATAACAGCATGGAAGTAAGAAGCAGAAAAATATAAGGAAACCATTCATTAGTCCTTTTATACTTAGTTTGATATGAAAAATAGCAAACCTACAGTAGGCCAGTATTTTTTTTTTTTTTTTTGTATTCAGAGGAGATTGTTAGATTGTATCTCAGAGAGGAAATAACTATGATTTAAGAAAAGATGAAAGCAATTTTATAGACTGGTTGGCATCAGCACTGGATTTTTTTAGTTACTAAATCCAAATGCAAAATTAGCACACATTGATGTAGGTACAATGTTGGCTATGTTAGATCTGAAAGCCAGAAGCTGCCACAAATGGGTAAGCAACGTTTTTCTTCTTCTGGGAGTCTCAAAATTAGATGTCATTCTTCATGCAGGAAATTCTTTAATATAAAAAAGTCAATATGGGTATTAACTGAGAACAGAATTTTACTTCCTGTATATGTATCGTTCTTATAATCAAAAAGATAAAATGGATATGTACTGAGAACACAATTTGTTCGGTTTAAGAACAACATTTAGTTTAACATTCAGTATGTATCATGCAACTTCATTATAATGAATCCAGCTAAACAATCCTTTTTTTTAGGAACCCCAGCACAATAACAATTTTTGGTATTACTATGAGGTAACAGTTTAACTAATTGTATTATAGTGAATACATTCTTTTAATGAATTTTCTCACAATTCTATGGGGGTTCATTATAATGAGGTGATACTGTACTTACATGCTTTGCTGTTCTAAGCCCTCAGTCACATTAACTCAACTTTCCTTCACTGGATACCATGAGGAGAATTTGGTTTCAATGTCAGAGATCTTTATGTCAGATATCTAATCTTAGCTCTGTATGTTTGCTGTTATTTTAATGCCACATATGAAACTTTTAATAGAGCTACTTAGTATTGTCTTTTAAACTGTATTTTTTATTTTAAAAAATCATACACAATCAATATTTTAACATGGAAAATTGCAAAAAACAGTATTGATTTTTTTTTTCCACAAGTAAAATTTAAATGAAATACTTTGTTATGGGTTGAGGTGATCAGCATAGAAACATTTTGCTTGTAGCCTTGACATAGTTTCAATGAAGACTCCTTTCCAATAATGCACAGATATTGAGTTATGCAACTTATGAACCCTTGCAATTACCTTTCTCCTTTGACACTTCTGGAGTCTTCAGAGGTTTTTCTTTTACGGGCTCTGCAGAGAAATACAGTGGAATTCAATGTTAAGGACTTAAAAAAACTAACAAGTCCAACAAAGGATGGCATGAAAAGCTAAACTCATGATCAAGTGATGTAACACTAGTCCTTTCCTAACATCTTCTACTATAGCTGTCATCACCTTATGGTTTGCACCCCTGATTATGTTATTTGATTACTTAGCATGGGCTGCTGTATCTGCACAGAGCTCTATGCAAGTGCATGGGACTCTGTATAGATGCCGGTTTCTGTGTAAGTGGATGTAACTGAATCATTGGAAATTCTTGTGACCCGATACAAAATCCATTGAAGGCAACAGGCATCCTCCTGTTGCCTTCAAAGAACTATGGAACAAGTCCTTGGATTTACTTGCTCAGAAAGCATGCGTGGTTAAGTAAAGTACAGTAAGTATAGACATTTTGTTGGTTATATACCTTAAAATATGGCACACATTTTACTAAAATTTTACTATATCAGTACCAATACTATTGGTACTGATATATTGACCCCATAAGTATGAAGAGCAATGAGTATTTGGAAGGGTTAGATGGGCGTTGCTTTGCTTTTTCAAATCGAGGAAATATTTTCATATTTTTTGAATGTCACTTATTTGGAATGAGAGAACATTACAGCTTGTAGGGATGCTAATTAGTGTCAATTATAATCCTGATATGGCATTTAAATGCCTAACCGAACGTCATGTCCTTGCAGGAATTACAGTAAGCTTTGAGTAAACTAATGTTAACTAAATCCCCTTTAATAACAGATTATACTAATAGAAAATTTTCTCTAAACTAGATTTAAAACCTAGTTTACTCTCCAGTGCCCAAGTCCTGTTTGTCTTCCTTCCCAAATATGAGAACTTGCTGTCAAAGATCTGCTTTAATTCACCCCTAAATTCTACTCAATCTTAGACATGGAGTTTGCTAAAACAAATTCATTTCCAACATGGATGGCTCCTTAGATTATATGCACCCATCTCATCTGGGAGACCTAGCACCCGCTGTCACCAGAACCAGAGATTAGATGGAGGGTCCTAAATAAACCTCCCCACTTTATCTCACTGTGATGGATAAGTATCTAGTGACACATGGCCTCATTGTTCATCCCTTCCCACTGCAGAAGCCCTCTGTGAGCATTCCAAAGTGCATAACCCTTTAAGAAAGTTCAGGACACTCTAGTAAGTAGGAATTCAGCAGCAACTAGCAGTGGTACCTGGGGCAAGGCAAGATGCACTGCCTCACTCTTCATGAGTCAGAACTTTTGTGGAACATTACTTTAGCTGCCCCAAGAGCAGCTCAAGAGTCCAAATGATGACAGCTTGCACTGTGCTCTAACATCTATCAATGACTGAAGTGTTCCCTGCTGGCCCCAGCAGCAGGAAAATATCAACACGACATAAAGCCACACTTCCTTTCCCTATACCCATACTGGTCTTTCATCAAACATAGATTTATTTCAGATGAAAATCTGTGTTCCTGTGATTTCAGGATATAGTACAAATAAATTGGGAAAAGAAAAGAAGAGGACATATAAAATGGAAAAAGACACTGCTTGTATCAATGAACCTTTACATTTACATATAGGTGACTTTCATACCATAATGTTTGATTTGTAATGAAAAATACTTTCTGTAGATGAGACAAATTGTGCCATTGAAAGCTACAAAAAATATTTTTCACTGCCAATGAGCTATATATAGTACATAGCAAATGTGATAAAATACCAACCAAGAGAAACAGCACATATTTTTTCTTTAATGACAAGATCCAGCTATGTGTAAATTACAAAAAAGGGTGCAAACTACTGACTTTTTTTCCATGTGTCCATATAGAAAAATAAATACAGTTCTTCCGTGTACAAAAGTGACATAAGAAAAAAATCATGAAGATATCCTAAGACACAACAGAACCAAACAAGAAAGAAAGCTGGGTATTCATTTGGGAAACAAATCATGTAGTACACAGTGTGAATTTAAATTATCTGTACAACACATAGGCTGTCAGTTTAATACCCTTGTGTAATGCAAACCTAGTAGCTTTTTTAGAAATATCAATATCTTGTATGTTCTACAGTTCACTCTCAGTATCGGTGTTAGTGACTCTGAATGAAGAAGCTTTTAATCTGACTAGTCAGGATTGCCATAAAAGATATGTATAGAGACCTATACCTCAACAGCTTATTGGCCTCAGACTAATCTATGTTGGTGTCCATCAAAATTAATCCCCAAAGGAAATTGTTTAATGAGTTGCTTCATTTCAAGACTAAAAACCTAGTGTTATTTCTAAAAATAAATCTTAATTTATTATTGTTTTCACCCGGGAAAATATTTCTTATATGCAATAAAATATATTCCTCTCATGTTCTTGTAAACTGGAGAATTGTTATGGCTCCATAAATCTTGGGCTCCAGGGTTTCCAGCAGAGAAGAAAGGGAAAATCATTCAGGAAAGGATGTAGTCTGGTGATTAGGGAATATTTCTGAAAGGAAGGAGATGTGGGTTTGAATCCCTGAGGCTGGAGAATCTCTCACTTCACAGTCAAGTGTTCTAACCCTTAAGCTAGTGGTCAAAAGGCAGGCACCTCCACCATTTCTAAGATGCACGGCTTGTATGATGATGGTGTCACTCAGTTGTCAGGCATGCTCTGTACCTGCCTATAGTGATGGAGAGTTAGATGAACTTTAATCACTTCCCAGTACCAACCTCAATCACAATGGATCTTACACGCCTATGTAATTACTCTGTCTCTTATGAGCATGTGCTTACATTTTCTTAGGTACCTATGAGAATGATTTGGAACTGGCCCATGGTGACTAAAAAAAATATTTTCAGAAGTAGATTACATAAAGGGCAAACTACTAGGGCATTAAAGGAATATCTCATTAACCTTTCTAAATTATGACTAGTTTCAGGAATGAAGGCTCTACTGGACAGGGAAAAAAACAAATGAACAAGACATTTTAAGAATACTGGCAGCATCTACATGTTGCCCCATGGTGACGTAGTGACACACTACATCACTGTATGGTGCACTGCAGCAATGTAGCTATCATGTGGGTCTACATGTAATTGGCAGCTATGTCACCGTAGCAGTGTGCTCTTCCATTTTAGTGCATTGCTATGGCGACATAGCAGCAAAATCTAACCATGTACTGTGCACGCAGCGCAGTATGGCAGTTACTGCACCATGATTAGTACTTCCAAAAAAGAAGTACTAAAGCACAGCACCATAGCAACATCACCATATGGTGATGTGTAGATGTGCCCATTGATGGCTGTGAAACTCAAGCTAAACTGGGCCCACTCACAAAAGTTACACTACAAAATACTGACGACAACTGCATAGTACAAGAGAATGTGAATTTGCGGCTGGACTTCCTGAAAAGAAATAATTGGGCATCACTTCCAGCTTATCTTACTACATTTATGATGACTTTAAGCAGGCTCCTATTTGTCTGGTATGTGACTGTGTGATGTGTTTATCCTTGATTAATTAGAATAGTAAATATTTCTTTGCAATTAACTTGTGTTTATGTGTAGAAAGAGATGTTCTCCATATAGGCTTTGATAGGTGTCTCCTCCTGATTTACTCTCGTTTTGCCTCAGTGGTTCTCTTGAACTTCCAAGGACGACTCCTCAAAAACCTTGTGTTTTTCCTGGTTGTTAATCAATTTACTGATATGTTCCAACTTAGTTGAAATTGATAACCTCTTGTTACTGAGGAAAGTAATTTAATCAAAACTGGGACTTTCTGATAACCAATAACGAACAGTTTGATTAACAGAATTTTCCTGTTAATTACTGCTTGGGATTCTCTTAATTTACACAGCTACAGAAATGCTTTGAGATGGTGAGCTTAAAGGTATAAAAGAGGACCAAAATAGTTAACAGGGCACACTTCAAGAATGAGAAATCATTCTGACAAAAACTGCTGCTGAGCCTAGCTGATTGTCTGGTGAATGGATCCATGCCTTGAGAATCTGAAAAAAACTGAGACTGCTTTTTTGCCTGTATTGGTGAGAAGCTTTCACTTTTTCTGCTAAAAATACTGGATTTTTCTATGCTTTAAGCACATCTATCAGTGAGTACTTGTAGTCAATAAAGTCCTTCTGTCATTCATTGAATGAGTTGCCATGTCAATCCTTTATACACTAGTCCTGAACCCCATTCATGACCTAACAGTACAGCAACTGTAGGTATGGAGGTATGTTGTGAGAGGGTGATGGGCTGATTTTGTTGCTAAATGTACAGCTGTGAAGCAGATGAACACTTTGGAATGTTTTAGGACTAGCAGATAGTTTGGAATAGTAGTAACTGGGACTTCTAAAGATTGTGTTGCCATTTAGAAAACTGTCAGATGCAAAAATACAGGATTAGAGCATAAGATCTGACCTGTGTTCTGGAAGATCACTGTGAGTAAATTAGGAAAAGCTATTAAGCACCACAGCGCTTAATAGATACAAAATAGGTACAAATACCAAAACTATCTGGATGATACTTTGTCCTGTTTATCCATTAGGTAAATCCTATTTGAGTTTCTTCCAAATGCTTGGCATTTATGGGATAGGTATATATGATTCCAGGTGTCTAATGAGAAGAGAAAAGAATCTACCAAAAAAACTAAGTTCAGATCCCTGTTGTGCTATATATTAGGCATTTTTATTCTAATCTATCATAAATAGATCTATTTGGGGTAATCCCATCCTTAGAAGAGTCTCTGTAGAATATGTTCTTGACTGTTCCCTTGTAGATATTTGAAAAT